AATTTTGAGACAGGTTCTCACTGAATTGTTCAGGCTGGTCTCCAATTTGTGATCTTCCTGCCTCAGCCTTCAGAGCAACTGGGATTACAGCCAGGCACTACCACTCCTGGGACTACTTATTTTAATTTTAAGTTTTTGTACTGGGAATTGAACACATGGTCACTTAACCACTGAGCCACATCCCCAGCCCTTTTTATTTTTTGAGACGGGATCTCGCTAAGTTGCTTAGACCCTTGTTAAAGTTGCTGCGGCTGACCTTGAATTTGGCAATCCTCCTAGCTTTGCCTCCCAAGTTGCAGGTGTGCGATACTGGGCCTGGGGCTACTGTATTTTTTTAAAGTGTTGTTATATTCACTTGAAAGACTAATTTTTCCTTCTCTTCTTATTGGAAGGTCCTGTTCAAAATGCACTGATGTCTTCACAATTGTCAGTGAGTCAAGGATATAATTTCCAGCTTCCAGGATCCTATCCTCATTTAATACCAGCAAAGACTTTGAATCCAGTCTCTGGACAGTCTAACTACGGTGGTTCTCAGGGATCTGGGCAAACTATTAATAGACCACCTGTAGCTTCTAATACAGTGACACCTTCACTCCATAGTGGTCCTGTTCCTCGAATGCCACTACCTGCTTCTCAGAATCCAGCTGCTGCACCGATGCCTTCTGGTAGCTTTCTTCCTGGAGCCAACATACCACCACATTCAAATTGGCAATATAACTATCCGCCCACAGGATCACAGACAAACCATTGTCCTCGTGCATCATCCCAACCGACTGCATTGGGGAGTACAAACTTAACAACAAATCATCAGTATGTTTCTTCTGGAGACCCTTCACTTCAAAACAGCTTCATAAAATCAGGTAGTATTATTAGGAATGTTAAAAATGTAGAAATAAACAACTTTTGCTTGTTTAGAGATTTGAATGAATACTTAAAGCCTTAAAACCACATGGAAAATTGTTGGTTTAAAAAATTATTATAAATCTTTAAGTAAATTACTTGTAATATCTTTGAATTAACTCAGTAACTTAAATTAATGAATTATTTCTGCTTTGCTTCTTTCCTTTGAAGGTATTCTTTTTCTTTTTCCTTTCTTCCTTTCTTTCTTTCTTGTGATGGGGTCTTACTATGTTGCTCAGGCTGGCCTTGAACTCCTGAGCTCAAGCAATCCTTCCTCAGCCTCTGAATAGCTACAGGCTGTTTTTCTTTGAGTCACTTGTGATATTTCAGGGATTCAGGTATATTTGCAGAACCACTTCCTCAGGGACTGGCCACTACTTTTGGCTTTTTTTTTTTTTTTTTTTATTCTTTTTAGATAGACACAATAGTAAAATGTGCTTTTTTTTTCTTTTTTGTTCTAATTAGTTATACATGACAGTAGAATGCATTTATGGAGTATAACTTCTTATTCTTCTGGTTGTACATGATATGGAGTTATACCAGTTATGTAATCATATATGCACATAGGGGAATAATGCTTGATTTATTCTACTATTCTTTCTACTCCCATACCCGCTCCCCTCTTTTCATTCCCCTCTATCTAATCCAAAGTACTTCTGTTCTTCCCTAGTGCCCCCTCCCCTTATTGTAAATTAGCATCCATGTATCAGAAAAAACATTTGGCCTTTGGTGTTTTGGGTTTGGCTTATTTCACTTAGCATAATATTCTCTAGCTCCATCCATTTAATTGCAAATGCCATAATTTTATTCTTCTTTAAGGCTGAGTAATATTCTATTGTGTATGTATACCACATTTTCTTTATCCATTCATCTGTTGAAGGGCACTTAGGTTGGTTCCATAGTTTAGCTATTGTGAATTGAGCTGCTTTAAACATTGATGTGGCTGCATCACTGTAGTATGCCGATTTTAAGTCCTTGGTTTATACCAAGGAGTGGGATAATTGGGTCAAATGGTGGTTCCATTCCAAGTTTTGAGGAATCTCCGTATAGCTTTCCATAGTGGTTGTACCAATTTGCAGTCCCACCAGGAATGTGTGAGTGTACCTTTTTCCCCCCGTTCTTGCCAACATTTATTGTTGCTTGTATTTTTTTTTTTTTTTTTTTTTGTCCCAGGGATTGAACCAAAGGGCAGTTAACCACTGAGCCACATCCCCAGCCCTTTTAAATTTTTATTTAGAGACAGGGTCTCACTGAGTTGCTTATGGCCTCACTTTATTGCCGAGGTTGGCTTTAAACTTGCCACTACTTTTTTTTTTTTTAATATTTTTTTTAGTTGTAGATGGACACAATACCTTTATTTGTTTATTCATTTTTTTATGTGGTGCTGAGGATCAAACCCAGGGCCTCACATGTGCTAGGCAAGTCCTCTCCCAACTGAGCCACAACCCCAGCCCCTCACTACTACTTTTATTAACTGGTTTCTACCTTACTGTCTAGGGATGCTGAATTGTTATGGTTTCTCTTGGATCCTAATCTGAGGCTTACATTATTTTTTGGCATGGCTGCAGGCAGTTTTTGACTTCAAATTTGCAGAACTGTGGAGTTGTGAAGGGACAGGTCTAAAAACATAGTGCTTTTTTTTTTTGTGGGGGGAGTACTGGGCTTTGAACACAGGTACACTTTATCACTGAACTATATCTCCGTCCCTTTATAATTTTTCTTTTGAGACAGGGTCTTGCTAAATTGCATATAGCCTCCTGAGTCTCTGGAATTACAGGCATATGCCACCATGTCCAACTGAGACAATGCTTTTGAAGTGGAGTGTTACTGAGCACAGCTGTGGTTAGTGCTTAGTGCAATGGGTAGAAAATTTTTTTTTAATATATTTTTTTTTAGATAAGAGAGAGGAGAGAGAGAGAGAGAGAGAGAGAATTTTTTTTAATATTTATTTTTTAGTTCTTGGCAGACACAACATCTTTGTTTGTATGTGGTGCTGAGGATCGAACCCGGGCCGCACGCATGCCAGGCGAGCGCGCTACCACTTGAGCCAAATCTCCAGCCCCTAGAAATTTATATGTATGTTTTCTTCTGAAAGTTTTATAATTTCAGCTCTTATGTTTAGGTCTTTGGTTAATTTTAATTTTTGTGTATGTTGATAGGTAGGGGTTCAGTTTCATTGTTTTGCATGTGGCTATCTGTGCCTTTGTCTCAGCACTATCTAATGGAAATACTATTGTTAGTACCTTTGTTAAAATTCAATTAATCATAAGTTAAGGGTTTATTTCTGGAATCCCAATTTTATTTCATTGATCTGTATGTGTGTTTTTATTATATTACCAAATATATTTTTATTATATTTACCAAATATTTTTTTTCCCCTGCATTTCTTACTTGAGTTACTTTCTTTGGTGTGTGTGTGTGTGTGTGTGTGTGTGTGTGTGTGTGTGTGTGTGCATGTGTGTGTTTGTGTGTGTGTGTTGGGGGGTGGTAGTACTGGGGATCAAACCCAGGCCCTTTTGTTTGCTAAGTAAATCCTTTATCATGAAGCCCCCCCCAATATATCTTTTTAAAAAAATTTTTTAATTGTTGATGGGCTTTTATTTTCAGTTATTTGTATGTGGTGCTGAGAATCAAACCCAGTGCCTCACACATGCTAGGCAAGCGCGCTACCGCTGAGCCACAACCCCAACCCCTCCCCTCCATATATCTTGATTGCTATTGGTTTTGTAGTAACTTTGAATTCATAAAGCTTTACTTCTCTAACTCTTGCTTTCAGGATTATTTTGGCTTTTCTGGTTTCCTTGTATTTTCTTAAGATTTTTAGAATCAGCTTGTTAAGTTTTGTAGAAAAGATACCTAGGGTTTTGTCTTTGATATTGAATTGAATCTGTATATCATTTTGGGAGAGAAAACCATATATTCTTGGGCTGGATGATCATTGTTTTTTTGGGGGGGGAGGGGGTGCTGGTTATTGAACTCAGGGCGTCCTACATGCAAGGCAAGCACTCTACCAACTGAGCCCGATCGTTGTATTTTTTTTAAATATTTTTTAGTTGTCAATAGACCTTTATTTTATTTATTTATATGTGGTGCTGAGTATTGAACCCAGTGCCTCACACATGCCAGGCAAGTGATCTGCCACTGAGCCACTACTCCAGTCACCACCTCTCCCCATCATTGTATTTTGTAAACTACTTCTGGTTCAGAAGTAGCTTTAAAAACCATTTCACCTTTGCGTTTTTGCTGTTCAGATGATCAGAATCTTAGAAACTTATCAACATTAATAGTGTGACTTTGAAAAGTGTTTAAAATTCCATATTGGGATCTGCAGATTGATTTTGCACTTTTCAAGAAAGTGAACAAGTAACAAGTTCCAAGTGAAATAGTTAATATAAATAGTTAACCTTTTTTTAAAAAAATTCATGTATTTCTTATTTATGGTGTACACTCCATCAGTTTTGTAGCTTGTTAATACTTTTTAAGCCTCTGGCCAGCCATTGGCCCTAGTGAATACATTTTGGCCTTGTAAAGATTTAAGTATAGGGCTGGGGATGTGGCTCAAGCGATAGCGCGCTTGCCTGGCATGCGTGCGGCCCGGGTTTGATCCTCAGCACCACATACAAACAAAGATGTTGTGTCTGCCGAAAACTAAAAAATAAATAAATAAATATTAAAAAAAAAAGATTTAAGTATAGTTTTTATTTAGAAAAAAAATTTTTTTCTAAATAAATGAACACAATACCTTTATTTTATTTATTTATTTTTATGTGGTGCTGAGGATCAAACCCAGTGCCTCATACATGCTAGCTGGGCAAGTGCTCTACCATTGAGCTGTAACTCCAGCCCAAGATTAAGGAATCTTTTAGAAACTTCGTTTCTTGATATAAATTGGGTGGGCAGAGGATATTGGAGATTGAACCTTAACCTTCCCCTTGCTGAGCATATCCTCTGCCAGTGAACTCTCATCTCTCTGTGGAAATTTTCTGACTCACATCTGGTAGCCCAAAATCCATTAGATTACTTTTACTCTGGTTCAGTTGACACCATGTGTGAGCATCTATCTCTTGAAATTAATGCATATTCTTTTGCGGAGGGCAATTCCAGGGGTGCTTTATCCCACTGAGCTAAATTCTCAGCCTTTTCTATTTATTATTTTGAGACAGGGTTTTGCTAAGTTGCTGAGGCTCACTTTGGAACTTGTGATCCTCCTGCATTAGCCTCTGAATGGTTGGGATTAAAGGTGTGCATCACCGAATCCAGCATATTTGTTTTATTTTTAATAATGATAGGTAACATTTATTGAACATTTATAATATTGTCTAACACTTTATCAAACTGTTATGCATTATCTTATTTAATCTTTTTGTTTTTTAGAATATATATTTTTTACTTGTTCTAATTAGTTATACATGATATCTTATTTAATCTTCACCTTAGTCTCTTATAGCTAACAAATATGAAGTTTCAAAGTTTGCCCACAAGAAAATAGTTTGGGAAAACATACTATGTAAAAACTATTTCCCCTAGCTTCCTAGCTACTTGGAAGGCTGAGGAAGGAACATTGCTTCAACCCAGTAGTTTTGGGCCAGCCTTGGCAACGTAGTGAAATGGGACTCCATCTGGGGTGGGGTTGGGGGGATATATTTAAGGGTAGGTGTATCTTTTTTTTCTTTTGGTACCAAGGATTGAATCCAGGGGCACTTAATCACTGAGTTATGTCCCCTGCCCTTTTTATTTCTTATTTAGAGATAGGGTCTCACTGAGTTTTTGGGGCTGGTTTAGAATTTGCAGTCCTCCTGCCTCAGCCTCCTGAGCATCTAGGATTATAGGCATGCATCATCACACTCAGCTGATATAATCTTTTAAAAAGGCATATGATCAGTAATCTGGAATTACTTTAGCTTTAACAGAAGCCCTCAGGTAGAGCATTTAGATTGCAGCATAGATGTAATGAGAGAGACATAAGTGCTGAAACTTATGAACATTTCCACATAAAAGAAGGGAAAAGACAGATGTATAATCTTAAAATGAACCTAAATGTATGATTCCTCTTTTTTCTTATGAGATGTCTAAAAAAAAAAAAAAAAAACAACGAAGAAAATCCATGCTTTTCAAGATGTCTTAAAAAAAAAAAAAAAACGAAGAAAATCCATGCTTTTCACTTTTTTTTTTCCAACACATACTTGATAATAGGTACCTGATAGTCTCATACCAAAAACTGTTGAGTATCCTTGGGAAGCTGAAGCAGGAGGATTGCGAATTAAGCCAGGCTCAGCAGAAGTGAGGTGCTAATCAACTGTGTGAGACCCATACAAAATAGGGCAGGGGATGTGGCTCAGCGGTCAAATGCCCCTGATTTCAATCCCCAGTACAAAAACAAAACTGATTATATAAGTTATGCTATTTTCTAATCCTCATACTAAATTTTCTGACTTTTCCTAATAGGCTGCCTTTTAGCATCTTTACATTAATTGGCCTGATTCTTAAACTCTACTGTTATAAATAAGAATTATTCAACTAGATGATTGCTTAGCATGTGTGAGGCCTGGGTTCAATCACCAGCACTGTAGAAAAAGAAAAAAAATTTTCCAACTTCTACAAAAAGTCTATTATATGAAATGTAGCATGTCCCAAGTTCAAAATATTCTTCTAAAAGTTGTAAAAACTCCATAAGCTTACTTGTGTTTTGTTAATCATTAGGTTGTTATATCTTTGGGGTCAGATGTATCATGCATTCTAGTTCATGCTGAGTTGGTAATGTACCTTGCCCCTTTGTGCCATAGATATATGTGGGTGCTTCTTAGATAAGGGAGTTACATTTCTGTAATCTTTGTTTTCACTTTTGCCAACAAAAAGCAGATCAGTCTTCTTGGGAGCTATAAGGTTTTTGAATAACAATGATTTTTCAATTTGGTCCTGGAGAATTTAACAGTGATACTTTTTATTTTTATTTTTTGGTACTGGGAATTGAATTTAAGGGGTACTCTACCACATCCCCAGCCCTTTTAATTTTGAGAAAGGGCCTTGCTAAGTTCCCCACACCTACCTCAAAATTTTGATCCTCTTACCTCAACCTGATTTGCCAGGATTACTTACATGTGTGCGCCACTGCACCTGTGCATTTGGGTGCATTTATTCCTTTAATTGTATAAAATATAGAGTTAACTGTATACTATAAGTAAAATTTATTGCCTATTTACTTACAAACAAATTTTTTAAAAAGTCCTGGAATGAAAAATATACCAGTGGTGTTTCATCTACTTTGTAGACTTTGGCAATGAGAAGGGAGGTTGAAGTAATGTGGTTATCTTGAAAGAATAAATAGTTGTGGGTTTGAAACTTTGATGTCACATAGAATATCCTTAAAAAGTAACTCATCTTGTTTTTATAGAGTCAGGATTTATGGCCCAAATAGAAAATGATAAAATTAGGGCAGTGATATCCTGGTTGATACAAGGATAAATATTGTGTCATTCTTGGTTTGAGGGGTACTTTTAAACCTATTGGATATCAGTATTTTATAATGCTTGTGTATAAATTTAAATCATTTCCAAATTTTATTTACTTATTTAAGACAGGGTCTTGCTAGTTTGCCCAGGCTCACCTGCAACTCCTGATCCTCCTGCCCTAGACTCCTGAGTAACTGAGACTACAGGTGCGTATAGCACTGTAGCTGGCTAATTTACCAATTTTTAAGCCTAAGGAATGTTCCTAACAATATTTAAACTGTTACAGAAGGTAAGCTAGCTTTAAAATATTTATTTAATTAAAAAAAAAAAAAGCCAGGTGCCATCATGGTACATGCTTTCAGTCCTAGCTATTTGACAGGTAAAGGCAGGAGGATAACTTGAGTGAGTCTAGGAGTTCAAGGCTAGCATGGGTAATATTATGAAATCTAGCTCAAAAAAAAACCCTTAAGCATGCACACACATTTTGGTACAGGGCATTGAACCCGGGGACACTTAACCATTGAGCCACATCCCCAGCGCTTTTTTATATTTTATTTAGAGACAGGGTCTTGCTTAGGGTTTTGCTAAGTTGCTGAAGCTGGCTTTGAACTTGTTATCCTCCTTCAACAGCCTCCTGAGCTATGCAGGACGTTGTATCACTGTGCCCAGCTATCTTTCATTTTGAGATAGGGTTTCAGTTGCTGGGGGTCTTGTAAAGTTGTTGAGACTGATCTCAAACCTGTGATCCTGCCTCAGGCTCCTGAGTTGCTGGGATTATAGGCGTGTACCACTGTATTAGGCAAAACATCATATATTGAACCTAGGGGGTTGACTTTGAACTTGCAATCCTTCTGCCTCAGGCTCCTGAGTCACTTGATTACAGGCATCAGCCACTATGCCTGGTGAAATCTTATATGTTTTTAACATATGATAAAATGCTTATGACCATATACATATGTGTGTGTGTGTGTGTGTGTGTGTGTGTGTGTGTGTATGTGTTTGTAGTGCTATTGATCAAACTTAGGGCCTCATGCACACGCAAGTGCTATACCACACAACAACACTCCCAGCTGTATCTATAAAGTATTTAAACCAATATATAAAGTAAATAACTTTATTATTTGGTAAACACTGAACAGTGCACAAATTTATAATCTCATCTTTAGTAGTTATATTCCAGCAAAACAAGGCAAAATTAGGCAGGATATAGTGTTACACACCTGTAATCCCAGCAGTTTGGGATGTTGAGGCAGGAGGATTGAAAGTTTGAGGGAAGCCTTACAATTGAGAACCTGCCTTAAAATAAAAAATAAAGCCAGGTGCAGTGGCAAATGCCTCTAATCCCAGCGGCTCAGGAGGCTGAGGCAGGAAGATTGTGAGTTCAAAGCCAGCAACAGCAACTTGATGAGGCCCTGAGCAACTCAGTGAGACCCTGTCTCTAAACAAAATATTAAAAAAAAAGGACTGAGGATCTGGCTCAGTGGTTAAGTGCCTCTGAATTCAATCCCCCAGTACCAAAAATGAATGAATGAATGGCTGGCTGGATAGATAGATAGATAGATAGATAGATAGATAGAACTAGAGATGTAGCTCAGTAGTGGAGCACCCTGGTTCACATCCCTAATACCTCAGAAATTAAAAAGGAAGCAAAATTAAATAAAACTTGGGAAATTGTTACAACTTAGTTTACAAATTTTTAATTTGTATTTTTAGAAAGCTGTCAACTTGTTGATATTAGTTGAGCAGATTATATTTGCAAACAAAATTAACAAAATATTTAGAAATTAATAAGAAAATTAATAGAATTTTATTCATGTTAGTTTCTATTAGAATATTTCAAAAGGCTGCTTAAACCTCTGTAATCAGTTAATGAAGAATTAATCAATTAGCATGGCATTGAATCTACTCTAGAAGTGGTTTGATACTTCATATATATATATATATATATATATATATATGTTTTTTTTTTAAGTTGTAGTTGGAAACAGTACCCTTATTTTATTTATTTATTTTTATGTGATGCTGAGGATTGAACTCAGGGCCTCACAGGTGCGAGGTCAGTGCTCTACTACTGAGCCACAACCCCAACTCCATTTTTCTTTTTCTTTTTTTTTTTTAATGATTTTTTTTTTAAGTTGTTGATAGACCTTTATTTTATTTATTTGTATGTGGTGCTGAGATTCAAACCCAGGACCTCACACATGCCAGGAAAGTGCTCTACTGCTGAGCCAAAACCCCAGCCTCTTGATACTTATTTCTTTATATTGCTTTTAATAACTGATAGATAAGAAACATGGTAGGATAGAGATGGAAATATGTACATATGAAACCATGAAGTCATACAGTTAGGAAGTTTACTGTATTTCTAATAATTTGTTGGGATTTATAATTAAAACGTAAATTTGGAAGTTGTTCAGCTTTGGTAAAGATTGTTTTTGGCCTTTGTCTTAAGTTCTTAAATGATGTGAAAAAAACTAATGTTTCCAAAGGTTCATCACTTCCCTTAAGGAATCCACCTCTGCCTACCACTTTTCAACCAGGAACTCCTCATGGGCCCCCTCCACCTAGAGGTCCACCTCCAGTAAGGGACCCCATGCTCCAGAATTCACATAGACCTGCACCCCAGCCTTCATTTAATTCAGCTGTCAACCAAGAAGGTGAGTAAATCAGAAAACAATTTTAATTCCAAATGTTTTGACTTAGAACAAAAAAAAATGAATATTATCTGAATCTTGAGCATTAGTCATATTTTTTTAAGAAAATCCAGTTTGAGTTAGAATGGGCTTCAGGAATATGTAGTTTTAAAAATTTCCTCGAGACTTCCATTACTGTGGATTAGCATTTGGGAACCAGAATCATTTCTCTTAGCTCTTCCCGCGGGCGATTCCGTGCGTGCGTGTGTTTTGGGGATTAAACCCAGGACCTTGGGTATGCTGAACTCATTCTTAACCTTTGGGATATATCCTCAGCCCTTCTACCTTTTTTTTTTATTATTGTGTAGATTAAAAAAAAAAATTGGAGAAGTCCTGCTTTTCTGGGTATGATGTTAGCAGTATCCTTTTAATGTGGTGGCGCATGCCTATAATTCCAGTTGTTCAGGAGACAGAGGCAGAGGGATTGTGAGTTCAAAGCCAGCCTCAACAACTCAGTGAGACCCTGTCTGTAAATAAAATGTGGGAAAGAAAAAGAAAAGACTGGGGATGTGGCTCAGTAGTTAAGCACCCCTGAGTTCAACCCCCAGTAGCTCCCCCACCAAAAAAACCCTATCTTTTAAAAATAATTATATTTTTATCAACAATATTATTATAAATATTAATAAATATTTATTAGAATAAAAGTCAGGGCTTGGGCTATAGCTCAGTGGCAGAGTGCTTGCCTAGCATGTGAGAGGTGCTGGGTTTAATCCTTAGGAACATATAAAAATAAATAAAATAAAGGCATTTTGTTCATCTACAATTAAAAAAATAATATTAAAAAACAATGCAGTCAGCTGGGCATAGGAACTCAATGGATTTCATTCTCTAGTACAGTAAATAAATAATAAAAATTTTAAAAAAAAGAATAAAAGTCAAATGTACAAGCGTTTTGAAGTTTTATTTAAGTAAAATGTTTTCAAACATTATCTTGTGAATACATGTAACTTTGAAGTTAAGCATTAATTTAAGTAAAATATTTTGTAAAGTAAGAATTTAATTTTAGGGCTGGGATTGTAGCTCAGTGGTAGAGTGCTTATCCAGCATGCATGAGGCACTGGGTTCGATTCTCAGCACCACATATAAATGAATAAATAAAAAATAAAGGTCCATCAGCAACTAAAAATATATTTAAAAGAAAAAAGAATTTAATTTTAATAAAAATATAACCATTGCCCTAAGACATGGAAATAAAAAAAAAAAACCGAGAAGAGGGGTAAAAACATTTGCTCATATCCTTATATTGAATATGATCAATATTATTATTGTATTTTAAAGCATTATTAGTAGGGATAAGGTTGGTGTTAATCATGAGTAACAATATAGATTGCCGCAATCTAACTTTGAAAATCAAGCTATAATAAGTATTTAAATATTTAACAAAAAAATTCACTTGCCTTATGTTTTTTTATTTTGCTTGTTTTTTTTTTAATATTTTTTTTTAGTTGTTGATAGACCTTTATTTATTTATATTTGGTGCTGAGAATTGAACCCAGTGCCTCACACTTGCCAGGCTTTTACTAAAAGTTTTACTGCAGTTTCTTTCTTTCTTTTTAAATATTTTTTTTAGTTGTAGATGGACACAATGCCTTTATTTTATTTATTTATTTTTATGTGGTGCTAATTATTGAACCCAGTGCCTCACATGGGCCAGGCAAGTGCTCTACCACTGAGCAACAACCACAGCACACTGCAGTTTTTTTTGTTTTTTGTTTTTTTTTTGTGGTGCTGGGGATTGAACCCAGAGCCTTGTGTGTTCAAGGCAGGCATAGTTTAAGATGAAAGAAGAGTCCTTACAGGAATTGGGGATGCAGCTCAGTGGTAGAATATGCACTTACCATGTATGAAGCCCTTGGTTCAATCCCCAGAATAAAGAAGAAAAAAAAAAAAAAGGAAAAAATACTACTTCCAGAGACTCAAATTTCCTTTCCTTGAAAATCTATTTAAGAATCTTGAAATGTTTGTATATTTTAAAACTTGCATTATTGAGATTTATTTCAACATTTGACCTTATCAAAAATCAATACATAGCCAGGTGCAGTGGTGCATGCCTGTAATCCCAGTGATTTGGGAGGTTGAGGCAAGAGGATCATGAGTTCAAAGCCAGCCTCAGTGACTTAGCGAGGCCCTATTTCTAAAAAAAAAAATAAATAAAAAAGTTGGGCTGAGGGGTGCTAGGGTTGTAACTCAGTGGTAGAATGCTTGCTTAGCACGTGTGAGGCACTGGATTCAATCCTCAGCACCACATAAATAAATATATAAATAAAAGCAAAAAAGAAATGACACAATTTTTTTTAAAAAGGAACTGAGGGTGTGTCTCAGTGGTTATGTGCCCCTGGTTTCAATCCCTGGTACCAAAAAAACAAAATCAAAAACATAATAACGATACATATTTTTCAGACACAGCATTATATTTCCATACATACATACAATCTGGATGATCAAATCAGGCTAATTAGTATACCTAATGCCTCAAACACTTATCATTTCTTTGTATTTAGAACATTTTAAATCATTGTGTGTGAGTGTGTGTATGTGTGTGTGTGTGTCTGTCTGTCTGTCGTTCATTGATACACACATACTTTGGGGCAGTACTGGGAATTGAACCCAGGGCTTCTCATATGCTAGGCAACCACTCTACTACTGGCTACATCCCTAGCCCAAGATAATTTGAAATAGTAAATTATTTTTAACTATAGTCACTCTACTATTCTATAGAACACTAGAAATTAATCCTTTCTTCCCCCTCTTTCCTCTCTTCCTCCCTCCCTCCCTCCCTTCCTTTCTTCCTTCCTTCCTTCTTGGTTATTGTACATGCTAGGCAAGCACCTACATCTCCAGCCCTTTTTCTTGCTTTGAGACAGGGTCTCTCTAAGTTACCCAGGATAACCTCCAACTTTAAATCCTCAATCTTCAGCCTCCCAATAACTGGAATTAGATGTATGTATCACTGCAACCTGCCTTAATTCTCCTATCTAACTGTTATTTGTATTCTTTAACCAATCTTTCTCTTCCCACCATCCTACACTTCCTAATCTCTGGTAACTACAATTCCTTTGTTTCTATGAGATCAACTTTTTCAATATACATGTACATACATACGTGTGTGTGTGGTGTGTGTGTGTGTGTGTGTGTGTGTGTGTGTGTGTGTGT